CTTGAATCATATGGTCAGTAGAATTCTAAGAATGACCCTCAATGACCTCTTCCCTTGACTACTCTCCTCCCCTTTGGAGATGAGTGAAAATTGTAAAGGTTATGGTATCGTTCCATGCTTATGTTTTGCTTTATTGCAAAAGGGAAAAGGAGAAATCCTGGATGAAGGCAAAAGGGAAAGAAAGATTTGGAGCACGAGAAGAATTTAACATGCCATTGCTGGTTGCTTTAAAAGATGAAGGAAGCCATGTGCAAAGATAGTAGAATGGCCTCTAGGAGTTGTGAGTTTCCCTGGCCAAACAGCAACCAGTGGGGACCTCAGTGCTAAAATGATAGGAAATTGTTTTGATCAAGAAGCCAAATGAGCTTGGAAGCAGATGCTACCCCAGAGTTATCTAGATAGGGTCCTGTCTAGTTGACACCTTGATTTTGGCCTTGTGAGACTTAAGTAGAGAGTTCATGTGAACTACTAATCTACGGAATGCTGAGATAATACATAAGTGTTGTTTTAAGCCATGGTGCTTATGGTAATATTTTACATAAAAATAGAAATCAAATACAAACCAACTATGATTTCACCAACTCTACACATTTCTGGGATAGCCACAGATTATTCATAGCTGAAATTTAGAAATAGCATCTTTTATGTTTTCTCTATCTGCCATTTGAGTAACTGTGGAAAAAGAAAAGCTACATTCCATATATATTTATTACCTTAAAAATAATGTCTTGAAATTGAATCAACTTTTTGAGGCATTTCATATCTTTTGTCTCATCCCATCTCATAAGAGCCTAGTTAGGTAGATAAAAACAAAGCCTGCAGAAGTTGTTTGCTCAAAGAAACAAGAGCCACTTCAGCTGGCTTTAAAAAGGCCTTTCAAACAATGAGAACTGGCCCACTGTGGAGAGATTGCTTTCAAAAATAATAAATCATGCATTGCTGGAAGAAAAGGCTGCCTGATCATATATGAAGGATTTAATGGGAGAAAGCCTGGTCTAGTTAAATAGCCAAACCTCTAAGATCTCTTCCAACACTAAAGGTTCTGTGTTCTCAATAAGCTACCAAACGAAATTGGTTCACATCCATGTTGGGTTGCTTGGCTAGGCAAGAGCTCTTCCTAAAGGTTCCCTTGCCATTTTTATAGTTGCTATTGTTTTTGAAGCAACAAATTTATTTATATTCCATTTACGGAGAAAAAACTGTTATATATACCAATAACACAAATTTTAAGGCACAGAGAATTTAGTCAAATCTCACAGATATTTTGTAGTAGAGCCAACTCAGTCTGTTTGACTCCAGAGTCCTTGCTTACACCACTATTGTGTGATCTACCACCCCGATAGGAAACAGAAGCAGATTGAAGCAGCTGACTTATGTATTTAAAAACACAATTGTAGAGCAGGAGAATGTGTTCCTAAGAACTAGGTCCACCTGCTGGCTCAGTGGCCCAGGCATAATGGCAACCCCTCAGGCAGAAGAGGACAATACCTCTTCCCTTCCCTTCTCTTCCTTTCCCTTCCCTTTGTGTTTTCCTCATGGCCTGAGCTAAAGGTTTTGCCTTAATTATTAAGACTCTGTAGATAGCTGACCCAAACTTAAATGTTCCCATTGATAAAATAAAGGGATTGTATTAATTGATCTCAGAAATCCCTTTTAACTCTAGAGTTCTATTATTATGGAAAAATATGTTTTGGCATTTCCCCCCAAATACTTCTGCTGAAATACTCAGAAATCCAGTCTTGATGCTCAAAAAGAGATTGAAACCCAGTTCCAAAGATTTCTTTCAAGAGATTCTTGAGAATTCTATTTTTGTGAAATCTTACACTTACAGACTCCTAGATTCTTTGAGAGCCCTGCAGCTCCAGAGAAAAGAGATCCAGAATTGTTCTTGACTTGGCAGAAGAAAGGGGCCCTGGAACAGAAATGGGGTGGCAAGGAGGATGGGAAGAGTTGCTGGCTAAAGGCTGGAACTCTGCCAGTGCTCCTGGTAGGGCTGTGGTAGGTCCTAGAGAGTTCTGGAAGAAGCCTGAGGCAGGAAGAGGTAGAATGCATGGAGTTAAACCAAAAGCTCAGAGCCCTGGAAAGCAAGGATAATTGAGGCTGGACATAGGACCCTGTGAACACCTAGCTATGAATATTTGAGAGAGGAAAGAAGTGTTGCCAAGCACAGTCATGGAGCAGGGTGAGAGAGGACCAGCTATTACCTTAACCCTCACTCAACTTACCTGCCAAGCAGATCAAAACTCTAACATGAGTTTTGTCCATGGCTCACCAGGGGTTAAATGTAGCCAGGGCCTGCCTGATCACCTGAAACAATTTCCACTACACAGGAAAACTCCAGATGGAATAAAGATTTCACCACCACCTCTCTGCCTGGGGAAGTTACCTTCCTGATTTTCACATTCAAAGGCTGAAGTTGATACGGGAATTTTGCACTTAAAGGAGAATATGGGTACTCATTTCAAGTCTTCCCAAACTTAAGTCCACCCATCGATAAAATAAAGGAATTGTATTAATTGATCTCAGAAATCCCTTACAACTCTAGAGTTCTATTGTTATGGAAGAATATATTTGGGCATTTCTGGTTCCAGACTTAGTAGGGCCAGCTGAGATCCATCTGGCATGAAAGACATTAATTTAGGGTTTCTGGTCATCTCTACTATCAGATTCAGAAACAAAGAGAATTCATTTCAGAGACCCCCTCCAAAAGCCCCTGTCGTCTCCCTGCAAATTAAGAGCCTGTGCGATTTGCTAGGTATTAAAAAGTAACAAATTTACTGGGGTATAATTATATGACTTAAAGTTTAACCTCTATATGTGTACAATTCAATGATTATTAGTAAATTCGTAGAGTTCTGTAACCATCACCACAATCCAATTTTAGAACATTGCTATTACCCTACCTGCAATTAATCCTCACTCTCTACCTCTCTCCCGGTGTCACTGGCCTGTTCTTTGTCCATGTTGTCTGAACATTCCATAAATCAAATGATACAATATATAATGTTTGCATCTAATGTCTTTCACATAGCATAATGTTTTAACATGTATCAGTGCTTCATTTCCTTATACTGCTGGCTAGTATTGCATTGCATGGCAATATCCCATTTTGTTATCCAGTCACTACTGATAGACATATAGATTGTTTCCAGGTCTGAATGTTATGAATATTGCCTCTGTGAACATTCCTACATATGTCTTTGTGTGAATCAATGTTCTTATTTCCCTAGGGTAAATTGTTAGAAGGGGAATTGCTGAATATATGATAAGCTTTACATTTTAAGAAATTGTCAGCTGTTTTCTAAGGTAGCTGTGCCACTTTACATTTCCACCAGCAATGTTCTAGGTTTCCAATTTTCCACATTCTCACCAACACTTGTTATTGTCTGTGTTTTTTATTATGGTCGTCCTAGTGAGTGTTCAGTGTTATTTCATTATGGATTTAATTGAATTTCTCTAGTGACCAATGATGTTGAGCTTCTTTAAAAATGTCCCCAAAATCACAGTTCAAATTAAAAATAAATGTAAATAGGTCCTCCCCGGTGGCGCAGTGGTTGAGCGCTGGGTTGCGAAGTTGCCTACAGCCTATGCAGCGCTGGTTCGATCCCCAGCTGCTCCCCGGCCACCAGAGGAGGGTCCCACATGGCGCGCAGACCTCTCCTGCCACCCACTGCTCCCCTCAGCAGTGTATTTCCGTCCTTCTGCCTGCTCTGCTCCCCGCTCTGGCTCTGGCGAATTCTCTCACCCTCCTGCACTTCTGACTGTACCCAGTGCTTGTACAAATAAATAAATAAATGAATGAATGAATGAATGAATAAATGAATAAATAAATAAATCTTTAAAAAAAAAGTAAATATAAGTCCTTTTTTAAAAATACCAGAAATGAATGCTTTAAGCTGAGTTTACGACCATCAACGAAAATAGCCACAAGAATTTTAAACAGAGTGAATGATCCATTTTGGCTTGTTTCAAAAATAATTATTAGGGTCCTGGAGCTGTGCTAGGTTCCGAATATGGGACAATGAATAAGATTTAGCTCCACCTTCAAGTATCTTATTAAGATATACATGAAAGACAGATTTGGGGGGAAGTTACAGTGATGTATGATGGAGTAGTTCAGCAGAGGGACATTTTCTCACTCACTCAGTATTGAGGAGGGCTGAAATACTTCATGGGTGAAGTAATGTTAGATATGTGTCCCAAGGGGTTAGTAGCCATCAGTTGTCATCCAAATGAACTCAAAGGGTTGGGGGCTAAAGGGTGGGAAAGAGAGGGGCAAGCACAGTTCCAATGTGTCTGGGTATCTTAGTCTATTCAGGCCGCTACAATAAAATACCACATACTGTGTGACTTATAAACAACAGGCATTTATTTCTTACTGGAGTTTGTGATATACAAGATTAAGATACCAGCATCGTCATGTTTTTGTGAGGACCCTTTTTCTAGCTCATGGATGGTAACTTCTTATTCTACACTCACATGGTAGAAAGGCCAAGAGATTCTTCTGGAGCCTCTTTAATAAAATACTAATCCCATTTATATGGGCTCTGTCCTCATGCCCTAAGCATTTCCCAAAACCCCCACATCCTAATGTCATCACTTTAGGAGTAAGGATTTCAACATAAGAATTTGGGGGGGGGAGCATTTCAGAGAACATAAACATTCTGAACATGGAATTGGGCAAATGAAAATAAGTGGACGCTAGAATGTTGGAGCTGAGGGGAGGGCAGCACTGAGAAATGAAGTCAGATAAGCAGGTTGGGTAAGAAAAGGAAGGACATAGTGGTGGAGAGTTACTGATACACTACAGTGTGGGAGCATCATCATCACATGGTCCATTAGAAAATTCTCCACACAACCCAACAGAGAGCAGACAGGATTGGGCAATTCTGCCATTGCCATTGACCTCAGTATCATCTCACTAAAACCTAGCAGGATCAGAGCTATGTGCCAGCCACCTGTGGCATTGAGAATGATCTTTGCCTTCCTGTGTTTGGCAGGTGCTACATCACCCTCACCCAGTCTCTGCACCTGACCATGAGTGGGGCTCCAGCAGGACCTGCAGGCACAGGCAAGACAGAGACCACCAAGGACCTTGGGCGAGCTCTGGGAATCATGGTCTATGTGTTTAACTGCTCAGAGCAAATGGACTACAAGGTACAGTCCCAATTTGGGGAGGGACCAGAAACAGGGCAGCAGTCTGAACCAGGGACTAGGTTTATCCACACCTTGCTGGGCTAGCTCGGAGGCCTAGACAAAGAGTTCTAGGTCTGCTTGCTCCTTTCCAGGAGACCTCAGAACATTGACTCCTAGATCTTGTTGACTTCTCTGTGAACCTCAGCATGTGGAATCTGCTTCCACTGATCTCTCTGATAACAGATGTGTACCTTCAAAAATCTACAAGAGCAAAATATTCTACAAAGGCAGGCGTGATTCTATAAAAACAGACTAAATTAATTCCTACTTTAGCAAGAGATACCCACAACAGACAAAAGCAAGACTAATATTTTTCTTTCAGGTACTCATCATTTTTACATTTTAAAATATGTTCCAGGTTCTGTGTTGTAAAGAAAGCAAGAGAAACACAAGACCCACTGGGTCACTTCTTTGATAGCCAACATCTTGCTCACAACTAGACCTCATATAGATTCTTTTTTTAAAATGCGTATAATAACATCATCTCGTTTTTGTTTTGCTTTATTGTGCACATGTTGCCTTAAGTCCCTTTTGAAAACAGGATGGCATGCAAGTACATTTAGAAGGGGAAAAAATTTCATTAAATAGACTAAACATGTGTTTGCATGTATCATGTGGTATATTGAGTGTAAAATACATTTAAATTAAAAATACCTTTAGAGACTCTAAGATAGCATGAGCAGTTGCCAGATATAGATCTCTTTAAGTGAAATTCATCTCCTGTAACTTTAATAATTTATCTTATATATAAAACTTTGCTGTGCAAAGAATTGCAGAATCCTGATAAGCACCTAAGCTTTCTCATAGCAAGCCAGCAAGGTGAAACTTCAGACCCAGAATAGATGTCCTCTCCATAGCCTAATCTCTGAAATGGAACATGGTTGCTTTTATTGATAAACACATTAAGATAACATTTCTTCTTAAGTCAGCCTGGAAGAAAGATTTTTTTCCCTTTAAAGTAATAAATAAAACTATGAGGTTTATCTTAAGGTCTAGATTCTTTTATAGTTGAACAGAGGCAGCATTGCTGAAATAAGTAGATTATCCCAAGGGCAACAATCTAGAGCACACACTCACTGAGATGTCGAAGTCCAGGCATATTGATTAAAGAACATCAGTTGGGTTTCTTCAAAGTTATGTCTAACATAACAAACAGGAAGAAATGATTCCTCTAAACTCATTTTAATTGAGGGAACCTTAAGTTCATATTATCCAATCCTTTCAAAATGTATCACTGATTTCTCTAAGAATATAGGGTAAAGGAAGCTTCTATCTTTTGCTTGAATTTTGAGCAAAGCTTCAATCCTGAGAGTCAAGACTAGACATAGATAGAGCCATATTAATTGGTAGAACCTAGAGAAACATATGAAAAGAACAGTGATCCCTTTCTAGAGTCCAGGCATCTCTGTCACCAAATAGCCTCACCAAGCTATTCATAAATCTCCCTCAATATCTGTTGTTCAGCTATTCAGAATTATTTTTATCACAAAATGCACTTGAACAATCAAGTTAATTTAGTGAGTAATCACCATTGCTCAGCATATGTTGGGTATCATGGAAGAATACAAAAATAGACAGACAGCTAGATGATTAACAGATACATAGATGGATGGATGGATGGATAGATAGATAGATAGATAGATAGATAGATAGATAGATAGATAGATAGATAGATAGATGAGAACCTATTTGGAAAGACAACAAGAATAAATGCAGTTAGAGGAGATAGGGAGATACAGTGTCACCCTGAGTGTTAATGTCTGTCTACTAACTCTAAGTTCTGGAATATTCTGGTCTGAAATGGCATTATAAAGGGAGTGAGATCCAAGGCTGTTTAAGGTTTGGGTGAGTACCAAACAGGGCATGTGACATTTTAACATAGCCTAGCCCAATGTCAGCTTTAAAGAAATGACCAAGTTCTATGTGCAGTTCATGTTCGTCCCTGCCCTGGTTCTGACTTCTCCCCTGAGTTTGCCTCAAAGAGCTTAGCTGTGATGAGGAGAGAAATGGATTAAGGGTCAGAAAGAGCTGCTGTGCACTTCACCAGGTGGCATTTTGATGTATCATTCATGATACTCACAGCAACACTTTCTGTTTCATTGTCTCTAGAGAATAAAGAAATTAAAACAGTGGTCTAGTACATTTGAGTGGGTTGGGAAGCAGGAGAAAATGTGAGATGGGTTGAATGAAAAAAGGAAGGACATTAAGCAATTTAGACAATCTGACCTTGAAGGGGTGGGCTACAGAATGACCCTTCAGGCTCCAGAACAGAAATAGCTAGATTCATCATGTCATCAGTACTAATAATATCATTTTTCCCCATGATCCGTGGTGGAAATCTTAAGACACCTTATTTCTTCATGTTCTTCCTTTCTTAATTACACTCAGTCTCCAGTGCCAATTCTTCCGTCATCACACCTCTCACTTCCAGGCTTCCCACCTACTCTTATTGTTCTTTCTCATCCTATAGCAGTTAAACTAATTTATTTTTTCAGTACTTCTCAGAGTACTTAAAATGTTAATATATATTGTAGATTGGCAAAAGTGGATCATAGATTGTAGTGTTTCCCAAATTGACTTGACCAAAAACCCCTTTCCTCAAGGAACATCTCCCAGATTCAGCATTTGATGGAATAAACTTTGGAAAGTGCTGCTATAATACTATTTGAAAATTTACCTCTTTATTTAAAGTTACTCTCCACAACCTAACTGGAGTTTCTTGAAGGACTGAGCTTTCTGTGCCTAGACATGAGCTAAGCATAGAACTGAGCATCTAAAACTACTCACTAAGTAAATGAATGGGTATTTTCTACTATTTCCTGGCATTTAAAGTCTCCTTGCCAATGGCCTTAAGAATATCTCCCACTAACCTCTCCTCTTCTGTTACTCAATGGTTCACTAATTCCCAAAATGTTTTTTTATTTTTAGGGCAGATAATCACTTTGAAAATTTTTCCTTGCTCTCATTTGAAAAGAATTACCCATAATTTATTTTCTATAGATGTTATCACCTCCCAATCCCATCTCCAGTTTCATATCATTCTGAGAAACCTGGGTATTCTGGCATGAATTTGAAAATACAGACATAAACTTTTCCATCAGCACATGCTGAAGTCTGAGTGGAAGGCTTTTTGTCCGTATGGTGCAAGAAAAATAATCTTTTATTCATTTCCTGGGATTTTGAAAGCTACAGAATCAACAGTAATGCAAGCCTGATGACATTTTAAAGGGATTTTGGTCCAAGTGTCTTGAAAAGGTTCTGTTTGATCCCATGACTTATGTTGGCACTCATAGCCATCAAAAATTTAATTGTTCTTGAAATTTTAATACAAGTTTGTAACCAATGGTCTTCAGGGGACTAGAGGTATCTACAATAAAAAGAATAAAAAATGATTTAAACACGTATTGATAAGCATCGGTTGAATTTTCCTGGCACTCTTAGTAATTTAATCTTTGTACATTTTTGTTGCAGTCTTGTGGTAACATCTACAAGGGACTTGCACAGACTGGTGCCTGGGGCTGTTTTGATGAGTTTAACCGAATCTCCGTGGAGGTCCTCTCAGTAGTGGCAGTGCAGGTATGGCGACCAGAGTCAGTGGGAGTTTCATGATCTCCATGCTAAGCATTGTGAAAGTCCACCTGTCCTTATCCAATTTCCTGTTCCCTATCCCGTTTGCCATACCATGCCTCTTCCTCAGCCCTCTAAAATGGGGACTGAATGAAGCTATGGATATCCTACAGATTCCTACCAATGCAAATCCATTTGCTGGCTGTGGGACTTCATTTCCTTTTCTGAAAAATAGTATTGAAGAATAAATGTCCACCTGGTTCCTAGGGGTTGCAGAGAAGATCAAATTATATGGTAGTGTTCAGGTCCTTGGAAAGGGCAGAGACTTTGGAAATTATCATATTGGGGCTTAATATTTAGCTGTTCTGTTTTTTTTTAAAGATTTATTTATTTATTTATACAAGCCCTGGGTACAGTCAGAGGCGCGGGAGGGTGAGAAAATTCACCAGAGCCAGAGTGGGGAGCAGAACAGGCAGACTGAGGAAGTACACTTCTGAGGGTACCAGTGGGCGCAGCAGGAGAGGTCTGTGCACAATGTGGTACCCTCACCGGCAGCCAGGGATTGAACCGGCGCTGCAGAGGCTGTGGGCAGCTTCGCAACCCAGTGCTCAACCACTGCGCCACTGGGGAGGCCCTAGCTCTTCTATTTCCTGAGAGTCTGGGCAAATTGCTCCATCTGTCAGCCTAATTCACTTAAATTATATTTAAAATTAGGATTTGAATGTTGTTGAGTAGAGCACATCTTTATGGTCAGATTTTATTTAACTATGTCACTTGTCTTTCAAGTCATCTAAAAGTACTTATGGAAAACCCACAACATATAAAGTGCCATGATCAAAACCAGGGTGAAGCATATTTTTTTAAAGATTTATTTATTTATTTATACAAGCATTGGGTACAGTCAGAAGCACAGGAGGGTGAGAGAATTCACCAGAGCCAGAGCGGGAAACAGAACAGGCAGACTGACGAAATACACTGCTGAGGGGAGCAGTGGACGTGGCAGGAGAGGTCTGTCATGCCATGTGGTACCCTCGCCAGTGGCCGGGGATTGAACCGGCATTGCAGAGGCTGCAGGCAGCTTCGCAGCCCAGGGCTCAACCACTGTGCCACCAGGGGAGGCCCTAGGGGTGAAGCATATTAAAAAAAAAAAAAAAAAAAAGCTAGCAACAACAAACATTGGGAACTCTCCTGCACTGAGAAAAAGGAAAAAGGAACTCTCCTGCACTGCTGGTAGGAATGCAAATTGGTTCAACCACTATGAAAAGCTATGTGGAGCTTCTTCAAGCTACTAAAAATGGAGCTACCATATGACCCAGTAATTCCACACCTAGGAATCTATCCAAAGAACACAAAAAACATTAATTCAAAAGGATACCGGCACCCCTGTATTTATTGCAGCACCTTTTACAATAAGTAAGGTACGGAAACAACCCAAATGCCTCAAAATAGATGACTGTATCAAGAAGATGCAGTATGTATACACAATGGAATACTATTCAGCAATCAAAAAAAGATAAACTCATGCCATTTGCAGCAACATGGATGGGGCTGTAAGGGTTTATGCTCAGTGAAATAAGCCAGAAGGAAAAAGAAAAATACTGGATGGTTTTACTTATAGGAGGAGTATAGGGGCGACAAATAAGGGATCAGGAAAAAATAACTATGATAAATAAAAAAACAAAACTAACAGACAACTATAAATAGAGACATTCTGCTGGGGAGGGAGGGAGAATGAGAGGGATCAAAATAGAGACGGGAAGAGCACAAGGGACTATGGTGGTGGTGCATGGGTGAATTGGTGGTGGGAATTTTATGGGGACTACACCTGATGTTAGAAAGCAAATATTGCACAAAAATGAACAATGATGTAAAATATATATAAATATATAACTAATTAAAAAGACTAGCATGATGGATTCCAAGCTGAATAAGATATGAATCCCAATTTCAAAATACTTGAATTCTTGAAAGACTTGAGAACCCTTCTCTGTTCCATAAGTAATTCCATTTCTAACTCAGTATGGGACAAGACTTCTAAATTCATTACCTTGAAGCCAGACCTTTAAAAAATGAAGAAAATTTGGATTTAGACAAGGATCCCATAGACAGTGGGAGTAGCAGAAATGGGTGGGAAAATGAACAAGCCTTTGTTGAAAGTTTGTTCTATATTACATACTCTTATATATCTTATATCTTACAAAACCTCTTAGGTTTCTTATATACCCACAGTAACTCAGCGGACCACTACTCCCCACTACATATAAAATAATATATAAAAATTATATATATACATAAATATATATAAAATGAGAGAGAGCACCTAGAGAAGAAAAGTAACTTTTTCTAAGGTACAGTGTCAGCAAATGCAAGGTTAGGATTGGAACCGAGCAACCCACCCTTCATCCAGGTGAATGTCTGGACATAGATCTGATGTTTAGAGAATAAAACACTAGAGGATAAAATAAGACTGGCGAGGCAGGTTCTAACCAAATAGTAGACAGACTAAAATGCCATGATATATATTATGCCTTTTTCAGTTGGCAAGAAGGAATCCCTGGAGATTTGCGAAAGGGAAATACCCCCTCTACTTGGTACAGTTTTGGGGAGGGGCTGGCAGTAGGAGAATCAGTGGGTCTTCTATTGGAGCTGCAAAGGATAATCAGGAAACCACCATCCTCCTCCACAAAACCCCTCAGTCAGCACAGTGAAGCACATCCTTTGCCAGCTAGTTCAAATGCTGCTATCTGAAGCTGAGTTCCCCCTTTTCCTGCCAGTGGTATCTCATGGTTTCAGAGCTTCCACCCCTATTCCAAACCCCTATTTGCCTCAACAAGACAAAGCAAGTATCAGGGTACCATGTAATGACAGAAACTGCGACCAGGTGCTTGGGACAATTGGCATGACTGCTGCTCCTGTTTTGTGCCCACACACAATACAACAAAAAAATGGTTGAATTTTCCTCTTGCCACTTGCTTTTATTTCTGAAGCAATATGTATACACCACAGAAAAATTAAATTAGAGCTATGAGGGACTCTTTGTTCCCTCTGGACCTTCTGTTTTATTCTTTCATGTCCAAACAAAGGAAAAAGTTTAGCTTTAACTGACATTTTTCTTAGGAAGGAGAGGTGGGGAACTGCAAATATAAGGTTTTTGCATGGTAAGGGGCACCTTGCTGGGGCAGCATCCTCTCTCTCTGCCCCGAAAGGAGTCAGCCTCCATCCATATACTCTTTTTTTTTATTTTTTTTTATAATAAATTTTATTTTTATATTCCCCCATACAATTGCAAATGCCCCATTCTGACCCCAATCCTTCCCCTCCCGCTCCCCACCCCCCAAAAAGTGTCTCTGGTTCATAGTTTTTTGTTGATTTTGATTTTCACTTTCTTATATTCATTTTCCTGGTCCCTTATTTAAGTTTTCTAGATTCCTGCTATGAGTGAGACCATCCGGTATTTTTCTTTTTCTTTTTGGCTTATTTCGCTGAGCATGGTCCCTTCCAGCGCCATCCATGTTGCTGCAAATTGCATGTGCTTATCTTTTTTGAATGCTGAGTAATATTCCATGGTAAATATGTACCACATCTTCTTGATCCAGTCATCTATTTTTGGGCATTTGGGTTGTTTCCAAAGCTTAGCTATTGTAAACAGTGCTGCTATAAACATAGGGGTGCAGGTGCTCTTTGGAATTGATGTTTCTGTGTCCTTTGGGTAAATACCTAGGAGTGGAATTGCTGGATCATATGGAAGCTCTATGTTTAGTAGGTCCAGAAATCTCCACACAGCTCTCCACAGTGGTTGGACCAGTTTGCACTCCCACCAACAGTGCAGAAGAGTTCCTTTTTCTCCACACCCTCGCCAACATTTGTTGTTGCTAGTTTTTTTAATATGTGCCATTCTCACTGGTGTAAGATGGTATCTCATGGTAGTTTTGATTTGCATTTCCCTGATGACAAGTGATGTTGAACATTTTTTCATATGCCTGTTGGCCATTTGCATTTCCTCTTCAGAGAAGTTTCTTTTTAGCTCTTCTGCCCATTTTTTGACTGGATTATTTTCTTTGTTGTTGTTGAGTCTCATCAGCTCTTTGCAGATTTTTGTGATCAGTCCTTTATCATTAGTGTTGGGTGCAAACAAGAGAAAGACATCCAAGGAATCCAAATAGGAAAAGAAGAAGTCAAACTATCACTATTTGCAGATGATATGATAATATACATAGAGAACCCCAAAATCTCCACAGAAAAACTAATTCAACTCATCAATCAATTCAGTAAAGTGGCAGGATACAAAATCAACATGCAGGGCCTCCCCGGTGGCGCAGCGGTTGAGCGCTGGGTTGCGAAGCTGCCTGCAGCCTCTGCAGCGCTGGTTCAACCCCCGGCCGATGGCGAGGGTCCCACATGGCGTGCAGACCTTCCCTGCCGCCCGCTGCTCCCCTCAGCAGTGTGTTTCGTCAGTCTGCCTGTTCTGTTCCCTGCTCTGGCTCTGGTGAATTCTCTCACCCTCCCGTGCTTCTGACTGTACCCAGTGCTTGTATAAATAAATATAAAAAATAAATCTTAAAAAAAAAAAAAAACAAAATCAACACGCAAAAGTCAGTAGCCTTCCTATACACAAACAACAAATCTGAAGAAGAAGAAATCAAAAAAACCATCCCTTTTATTATTGAAACAAAAAAAATCAAATATTTGGGAATAAATCTAACAAAAGAGGTAAAGGACCTATACAAAGAAAACTATAAAACACTGTTAAAAGAAATAGAAGAAGACACAAAGAAATGGAAAGACATCCCCTGCTCATGGATTGGAAGAATAAACATTATTAAAATGGCCATCCTTCCAAAAGCAATATACAGATTCAATGCTATTCCAATCAAAATTTCAATGTCGTTCTTCAAAGAAATAGAACAATTATTGATGAAATTCATATGGAATCACCAAAAACCCCGAATAGCCAAAGCTCTACTGAAAAAAAAAGAAGGAAATGGAGGCATCACACTCCCAGACTTCAA